AGTGTATCGGTAAAGTTGTATTCGGAAAGAATAAACCAGTTTTATTAAGTAAAGAACTTGTGTCGCTAAAGTTTCGTCGGAACGAAGTTACGGAAAGTTAATTAACAAACGGAGACAGACGTAACAATACAAATACTTCACTGAAATTGCACTCTTAAAAAAAAACAGATTACCCGATACCCATTCACTATTCATAATTCGCTAAAAGCAAAACACTGATTCTAGTACTTTTACTTTAGCCTTGTTTCTAGATTCTTGCAATATTTAAATTTTTGTGTCATCATCTAGAATGTTGTAGGCCTACTCCCACAAATTTACTTGATCTTAACGTCATGCACCATTTAGCAAATATTTGAATTAAAACATTGAAAATATAATCCAAAACATTATTTTAAGTTTTTGTAAACAATTTATTGTCACCTATGTTAACTATTCATAATTAAACATGTGAACTGCCAAGAATAATTGTTACTCTAAATTATAATTGTTAATCATACATTGCCTGAAGATGGCCCTCTACTATGGCTGAAACATGGCATTTTTAATTTTAAAATTCTATTGTGAGGCTATTCATGATACTAAATTTTAATTAATTCAATATTACAAAACACCAGATGGCAGCACTTACACCAAACGATATTTATAAATTTATTTGTGATGGTGTATCAGAAAATGTGAAATTAAAAAAGTTTCATTTCCAGACAGTATAATAGTAGTAACAAGAATTTAAAGTATGTAGCTAAAACAGATATTGCACTTATTTACAGTTTATGTGCTATAAATTTTAGAAGTGATAAATTGTCTGAAAAAATATCGCTATGAAAGTTAAAATGACAAAAATAATTATCAGTTTTCTATTAGTATTACTACTTACTAGTAGTAGTACTAGTATTAGTAAGTAGTATTACTATTACTGTTAGTAATATTCATAATAGTAGTCAGTACTGCTTAATACCAACAGTGGTAAGACTGATATGATACTGATACTATTATTATTAAATAGTGTAATACTGCTAACAAAAATTGGTACTACTAACTAGTAAAGTAGTTCTAATGGTATTGAGTAGTAATAATATATTTCAGTGTATCAGCTTAATTTGCTAGCTTTTGAAATTTAAGAAACGAAGTAATTAAAGCTGCTGTAAAGTTCAATCATAAAAACAATCAAGGTATAAAATATATTGCAGCGCATTGATGTCACTTTCTTTTTCTTGAACCAACCAAGACCTTCAATCCAAATTGAATGTGGTTTTACTTGTATATATCAAGAAACGTTTTTAACTGATTGAAAACTAATGTATTAACAACACACACCCATCACCATACTGTTCCAGAAGTTTGCAGCTATCAAAGTAGTTTTATCAAGACAATCAAGAGTGAAATCTGTTCTGTTTGTGAGATGTAACAAAACATTTTATATGTAAGTCCTTGTATCAACTTTACATCACTGAGTGAAACCTTTTCTGTGTGTGAGATGTAACAAAACATTTTATGTGTAAGACCTTGTATCCACTTTAAATCACTGAGTGAAACCTGTTCTGTGTGAGATGTAACAAAACATTTTATGTGTAAGTCCTTGTATCTACTCTACATCACTAAGTGAAATCTGTTCTGTGTGAGATGTAACAACATTTTATATGTAAATCCTTGTATCAACTTTACATCACTGAATGAAACCTTTTCTGTTTGTGAGATGTAACAAAACATTTTATGGGTAAGTCCTTGTATCTATTCTACATCACTGAGTGCAATCTGTTCTGTGTGTGAGATGTAACAACATTTTATGTGTAAGTCCTTGAATCCACTTTACATCACTGAGTGAAATCTGTTCTGTGTGTGAAATGTAACAAACAGTTTATGTGTAAGTCCTTGAATCCACTCTACATCACTGAGTGCAATCTGTTCTCTGTGTGAGATGTAACAACTTTTTATGTGTAAGTTCTTATATCCACTTTACATCACTGAGTGAAATCTGTTCTGTGTGTGAAATGTAACAAACAGTTTATGTGTAAGTCCTTGAATCCACTCTACATCACTGAGTGCAATCTGTTCTCTGTGTGAGATGTAACAACTTTTTATGTGTAAGTCCTAATATCCACTCTACATCACTGAGTGAAATCTGTTCTGTGTGTGAGATGTAACAAAACATTTTATTTGTAAGTCCTCCTATCCACTCTACATCACCGAGTGAAATCTGTTGTGTGTGTGAGATGTAACAACATTTTATGTGTAAGTCTTCGTATTCACTCTACATCACTGAGTGCAATCTGTTCTGTGTGTGAAATGTAACAAAACATTTTATGTGTAAGTCCTTGTATCCACTTTACATCATTGAGTGAAACCTGTTCTGTGTGTGTGAGATGTAACAACATTTTATGTGTAAGTCCCTGAATCCACTTTACATCACTGAGTGAAACCTGTTTTGTATGTGAGATGTAACAACACATTTTATGTGTAAGTCCTTGAATCCACTTTACATCACTGAGTGAAATCTGTTCTGTGTATGAGCTGTAACAACATTTTATGTGCAAGTCCTTGAATCCACTTTACATCACTGAGTGAAACCTGTTCTGTGTGTGAGATGTAAAAAAACATTTTATGTGTAAGTCCTTGCACCTTTCCCATTACACAGTTATGAAAATTGTATTTAAACAAAAGATACAACAATAACAATATGATGCAGTTTATAATGTATCTGTTTCTAAATGTTGTATTTATTATAGCTAAGGTCATCATTGGTAAAGAATGCCAAAGCAGACTAACTTCTTTCAGTTGTATATTGGGATGCTAAAGAACAATGATAACTGTAGAAGACTTTATCATCCAAGAAAAAGAAAAGTTGAAGCTGGAAAAACAGCAACTTGAATTACATATTCAGGTGTGCCATAACATTAGGGAATTGAAGAAAGAACATCTTGAGGTAATTTTAAAATATTTGTTTGGATTAAAATACATAAAAACATTGTTCTGAAGTATGTTTTAAGTTGAAATGTTTTATATTATTTTCTAGAGGGAATTTTGGCATTGCATAATGATGATGTGAGATACCTAGAAAGTTTCTGAGTGTTAGATTTGAATTTTGTCTCTAAATTATTTGAGACTTATGAAAAAATAATTAAAAACGTCATTTTGTTGGTTAGTCAGTCAGTTGATTAGTTAGTAAGTGTGATTTTTTAAGTGGATTGGATTTTGCATTATATTTACTGAATAATCAAAAAAGGACCCATCTAAAGTAGAAAACCATTACAATAATAATGGAGATTTCAGCTAAAGATTAAGCTTTTTTTTTGTAATCACTAAATTTTCTTCATAAAGTATTAGTTGAAATTTTGAAGCAATGTTCCACAATATACAAAATGTAACAGCTTAAGAAGTTATTTTTTTAGAATTACTTATTTATATACTGCTAGAAATATGGCTTAGGTAAAACTTTTCATTTGTGTGGTGCAATTTGTTTATCCCTTTCCATGAAACTAGAATTAATTTTCAATCTTTTGACATAATATGTTATTGAAGGATGTAATTTGTATTTCTATTACTGTTTGTCTTTGTTTATTTTATATCATTTTTTTGTTTGCAGTTCTTGTACCATAAACTATAAGGAATTATATATTTGTAAGCATTATACTGTTCTAACATTGTTTGTGTTCTTTTTATATTATCTGGTGGAAATAATTAAATTTTCTGTCCATGTGATGAGAACAAATTACTTTATTTTCTCTGTCCTTTAATGCTTTTACTTGCTTGAACACTTGCACATTATCTTAAGTTGTTGTAGGCCTACATTACCAGTGATGTTCAAACCTCTAACAATACTAGGATTAACGTAAAATCAACTTACTTGTATAAAATAACTCAGCAAGCATGATAGTTAACACAGAACCAAATCCTACATAAAAACCCACTGACTAATTGAACTCTATCATGTAAACAAAACTATACAACTTCACAACTATCTCATTTAATGATTTAGCTTTAAGTGTTCTAGAACATCCTTCTTCATATCCTTAGAATTTTCGAGGTGTTCTAGGCCTATTATATTTCAACATCATCATTAAGACCCATAACTCTCTCTAGTTAACTTTTAAAATATGACATTAAAAGTAAAGCTTATGAAAATACTCTGTCACTGAAGGCTTGTTTTTGTTGTATTTTTTTACTTGTATATCATGAAGTTTTTGTTTCTTTGTAGTTTCAGAGCCTGTCACAGAAGGCTCTTTTATTTATTTGATTTACATGTCTCATAATGTTTGGATTTGTTTTTAGTTTTAATATTCTGTCCAAGAAAACTGGTTTATTTGTAGTTCTTATTCATTAATTTGGAAAGACATTACCTATTTATAATTCTCATACCTTCTCATAGAAGGCTCTTTATTATTTGTATTTATTATCTATGTATATCAAGACAAAATGTGTGTTTGCATGCACCCTAACTCTTCTGAGCCTACTGGGCCAATCTAGCCAAAATTTGTAAGTAAACACCATGAACTATGATGAATGTCCTAAGAAGGTCAAACTGACCTTAAACCCTATTTCTATTTTGTAAAGCCTGTTAGTTAATTACTCCCAACCTATTGAGTCAGTCTCAAACAATCTTGGAAGGTTGATGTTTAGACAATGTTAAATATTCTAAAGGGATTCAAAGTCAAAGAATGACAGTTGCTGGATTGTTTCTCAAACAACCTTACTGTTATGACAGTGGAGGTCACGTGATGCTGGTAACACGTAATGAGTACCTAGAAAGATCGAGGAACTTGTCGGACATCCTAGCAGTTGCTAGAATGGCGCTCTTATAGTATATAACCCGGCAAATAAAGTGACGGCAACAATTTGAATAGCAGACAGAGAGATTGAAGATATAGACCGACAATCGAGTCAAGCACGGTAGTAAGTAAAGTGCGTGAATCATTCGTTGAGAATTATAGCGTTTGTTAAGTTAAAGTGACTGTGGAAATTAAGTGTATTGCGAGGTTGAATTGAAAAAGAATAAACTGGTTTTATTTGGGAAAGGACTTGCATCGCTGAAGTTCTTCGGAAAGAATTTTTACGAGTGATTAACTAACGACCAGAGACGTAACATTACTTTTATCATGGTCAGTGAGATGTAGGGTGGGATCACCTCAAAATCTTTATTTGTTGGTAGATGAAAAGCAAACTGCAAATGTTTTTTATGAAGAAGCTTTGTTATAATTTTAAAATTTTGAGGTGAAGTTTATGTTCAAGTTATTACTTTGAAATATATATAATTGCTGTTAAACTTGCATTGTTTTAATTAAGTTTAAAAATTCCCATTAGTTGAAAGGTATTTAGCTTGTATTTTATAATATAATATAATATAATATATTGTATGTGATGTTTGTGATTCATATTCCTTTCTGCCCGAGGATTGTATTTTTTGTAGTAAATGTACTTTATCCTAGAAGAATCTTTTGAAATAATTTGGTTTTACTTCTTGTTACTTACCTAGGACTTTCACTTGCAATCCTTATGGCATTTCATAAGAAGATGGTGTTTGTTTGTATTTCTCTAAATTATCAAAGAAGAATGCTACTTCTTTGTCTTCATACCCTAAACAAGAAGATAGCATTATTTTCAGTTGTTATACCCTATCTTAAAAGGAAAGCTTTGTTTTACATCCATATAACATATCTTAGAAAAAAGCTAGAAGGATGCTGTAGTGTTCTACTATATCCTAGAAGATTGCTGTTTCTGGTGTTTTACCATAACCTAGAAGATTGCTGTTTGTAGTGTTCTACCATAACCTAGAAGATTGCTGTTTGTAGTATTCTATCGTATTCTAGAAGGTTGCTGTTTGTAGTGTTCTACTATATCCTATAAGATTGTTGTTTGTAGTGTTCTAGTATATCCTAGAAGATTGTTGTTTGTAGTGTTCTACCATATCCTAGAAGGATGTTGTTTTTAGTGTTCTACCATATCCCTGAAGATTGTTGTTTGTAGTATTCTACCATATCCCTGAAGATTGCTGTTTGTAGTGTTCTACCATATCCCTGAAGATTGCTGTTATAGTGTTCTAACATATCCTAGAAGGATGTTGTTTATTGTATTCTACCATATCCTAGAAGATTGCTGTTTGTAGTGTTCTACTATATCCTAGAAGATTGTTGTTTTTAGTGTTCTACTATATCCTAAAAGATTGCTGTTATAGTGTTCTACTATATCCTAGAAGATTGCTGTTTGTAGTGTTCTACTATATCCCAGAAGATTGCTGTTTTTAGTGTTCTACTATATCCTAGAAGGATGTTGTTTGTAGTATTCTACCATATCCCTGAAGATTGCTGTTTGTAGTGTTCTATCGTATCCTAGAAGATTGCTGTTTGTAGTGTTCTACCATATCCTAGAAGATTGTTGTTTGTAGTGTTCTACCATATCCTAGAAGATTGCTGTTATAGTGTTCTACTATATCCTAGAAGATTGCTGTTTGTAGTGTTCTACTATATCCTAGAAGATTGCTGTTTTTAGTGTTCTACTATATCCTAGAAGGATGTTGTTTGTAGTATTCTACCATATCCCTGAAGATTGCTGTTTGTAGTGTTCTATCGTATCCCAGAAGATTGCTGTTTGTAGTGTTCTAACATATCCTAGAAGATTGTTGTTTGTAGTGTTCTACCATATCCTAGAAGATTGCTGTTTGTAGTGTTCTACTATATCCTAGAAGGATGTTGTTTGTAGTATTCTACCATATCCCTGAAGATTGCTGTTTGTAGTGTTCTATCGTATCCTAGAAGATTGCTGTTTGTAGTGTTCTACCATAACCTAGAAGATTGCTGTTTTTAGTGTTCTACTATATCCTAGAAGATTGTTGTTTGTAGTGTTCTACTATATCCTAGAAGATTGTTGTTTGTAGTGTTCCACCATATCCTAGAAGGATGTTGTTTATAGTGTTCTACCATATCCTAGAAGATTACTGTTTGTATTGTTCTACCATATCCTAGAAGATTGTTGTTTGTAGTGTTCTACCATATCCCTGAAGATTGATGTTTGTAGTGTTCTATCGTATCCTAGAAGATTGCTGTTTGTAGTGTTCTATCGTATCCTAGAAGATTGCTGTTTGTTGTGTTCTAGTATAGCCTAGAAGATTGTTGTTTATAATGTTCTACCATATCCTAGAAGATTGTTGTTTATAGCGTTCTACCATATCTTATAAGATTGTTGTTTGTAGTGTTCTACCATATCCTAGAAGATTGTTGTTTATAGTGTTCTACCATATCCTAGAAGATTGCTGTTTGTAGTGTTCTACCATATCCTAGAAGGATGTTGTTTATAGTGTTCTAGTATATCCTAGAAGATTGTTGTTTGTAGTGTTCCACCATATCCTAGAAGATTGTTGTTTGTAGTGTTCTACCATATCCTAGAAGATTGTTGTTTATAGTGTTCTACCGTATCCTAGAAGATTGTTGTTTGTAGTGTTCTACCATATCCTAGAAAATTGTTGTTTGTAGTGTTCTACCATAACCTAGAAGATTGTTGTTTGTAGTGTTCTAGTATATCCTAGAAGATTACTGTTTGTATTGTTCTACCATATCCTAGAAGATTGCTGTTATAGTGTTCTACCATATCCTAGAAGATTGTTGTTTATAGCGTTCTACCATATCCTATAAGATTGCTGTTTGTAGTGTTCTAGTATATCCTAGAAGATTGTTGTTTGTAGTGTTCCACCATATCCCAGAAGGATGTTGTTTATAGTGTTCTAGTATATCCTAGAAGATTGTTGTTTGTAGTGTTCCACCATATCCTAGAAGATTGTTGTTTGTAGTGTTCTACCATATCCTAGAAGATTGTTGTTTATAGTGTTCTACCATATCCTAGAAGATTGTTGTTTGTAGTGTTCTACCATATCCTAGAAAATTGTTGTTTGTAGTGTTCTACCATATCCTAGAAGATTGTTGTTTGTAGTGTTCT